CTCTCGAGGGATTCAGGGAGAAAAGAAGAAAGGCGTTGAGGTACAAGTGTAAAAAAACAAAAGTTTTACTGTGGGATGAAAAGAAACACAAAAAGAGGAAAACAAAAAAAGAACAACACAAAAAAAGAGCAACAGAAAAAAGAGGAACATAAAAAAAGAGGACTCGGTAAAGAGAACACACAAGAGCTGAGCGCCACACACCTGCACTGGCAGACTCATCATGGTCTAGTCGGTACTGTGTATGCCAACTATGCAAGTACACCACAGGAAGACGACGCTAAACACACAAAAAATCAAATTAACTAAATGCAAACCAGAACTCATCAACCTACATCACAGCAAACGTGGCCAAATTATGTCAACAAACAGCAAGGGAAAACCAACAAATAAACGAGGAACAAAGAACAAGGACAAAAACCCGCGACCAATATAAATATAATTCTCATCAGAGTGAGAAAGACCAATATAACCTCAGCCAGAGGCTTAGAAAATGCCTCGCTCTAGATTACTTCTCCAAACTTCTTCCCGTTCATTATGAGGCAGGCGCCCTTGATGTGAACCTCTTAAGAGGATGAAAACCTTACAAGTTTCTTAGAGGTCATTTATCTGGCTTAATGTGTACCTTGCTTTGGTCTGGTGCAGGGAGGATGGGGTGAAGTGAATCTATGGACGGGCGGTAGGGATAACGATGCTGCGAGGAAGATATGAGGGATACCATTGCTACTGTGTGGGAAAGATGAGAGATATAAGTACTACTGTATAGGAGAAGTGACACGGCTACTTACTGTGTATATGGGAGATGCTTCTGCTACCATGGAGAGAGAGCGAGGATAGGCTGCTTTTATTGAGCGAGAGCAGAGATAACAATTTAATAATTGCGATGGATTCTTTCACCAGTTTACATTTAAGCATAATAAACAGGCAAATGAACTCTTAGCACAGCTGGCTTCGTTCTTGACCTACAATTGGGGATCCTGGATTAGATTTCCGGGAGGGATAGATATGGTTGGACACGTTTCCTTTCACCAAATGCCGCTGTTCACCTTGCAGTAAATAGGTACCCAGGAATTAGTCAGCTATTGTAGAGTTGAATCCTGGTGAGGGTTATAGGGGAGTTCCCTGGTGGCTTGGGTTTAAATCTTAAGGGGGTTACAGAACTTAAATGATAGACACCGCACTGCTTGGCTTAGTATGCAAGGCCCGATTTACCTAACAAGCAGTGATTTTTGTTATTTTCAAATATTTTTCAAATTGGTTTATTCAAATTAATAATAATATAATATATTAATAATTATCACTTTAACGCGAGCAGCGATATGGACTGGAACTTCCTGGAAGTGAAATCGACGTTTTCGGGCGACCGAGCGGCAACACTGAAAAGTGCATACTCTTTTTCGCTGTCCTGACCTTAATTTTCGATGTACAGATTTCATTTTTGTACCAATGTGTTCGCAATAGAATGATCTATAGGAACATATAAGAACATATGTATATGTCACCAAAGCATGAGTTAAATCACACAAAAAGCTAAAGAACTACATCGATCACTAGCCGTGAGCTCCAAACAGTTAGTTTAGTTCATTTATTATGCTCCAAACAGCGACGAAATGTTTCTATTCTTTTCAGGGCTGTCAACGCCACACTTGTCCTACAGCGTCAAATTTGGTATCACTGTGATCGCAATTAAATTTCCTACACGGACATAAGCATATAAATGTAGAATCATGATCGCGGTCTACACCAAAAGTGTGTGAAGTGCGCGATTACACTTGCCGTGTCAACAATACAATAGTCTTTCCACTAAGTTACAATACAATGCCGTTCTCCCAAATATGCCATGTGCCTATTAGAGAAAACGGAAATTTAATGGCAAACATTTTCATACTATCCCCAAGGCGATCGAATAAGAATTGGATTTTATACAAATATTTTTTAATCGTGCGTAAATTTACGACGCGGGTGTATTTTTAGGAAAAAATACGCGTCGTTTATTTACGACCCAGGAGCGCTAAAGTGTTTTAATTAATAAGAACATGAATATAATATAATATTCATGTTCTAAATATAACATGACTTAGTTACGTTAGGTTAGGATAGGTTAGGTTAGGTTTCATCTAAATTTCTGTCTTAGTTTTAACTCAAATTTAAAAATGTAATCATATATAATAAAATAGAAAGCTTTATCATTCTATAAGCAGTTTTATTTTGAAAAAATTATAGTTTAAAAAAAAAACTCGGTTTATTAGGCAACCTATGGGTTGCAGACGAGGAGTCACAATAACGTGGTTGAAGTATGTTGACTAGACCACACACTAGAAAGTGAAGGGACGACGACGTTTCGGGAGGATACGAACCCAGGTCAAAGCGCTGGCGAAGAGCCGGGCGCATGCTTTACCACTGTGCCACAGAGACTGCTCCATGGTGTATTGGAATTTTGAAACCTGATTAACCTAGTTCAACCCAACCTAACGTAACCCAAATCAAACCAATCTAATATCCAACCGAGCCCAATGCAGCCTAACCTTAATAACATAGCCTAATACAGCCTAGCATAACAATACATCCGGTTTTAAAACATAAAATGTGTTTAACCTTGTAGCGAGTAGATTATCCCAATAATATACTCGCTCCAAATGCATTGTTAATATTCCTGTCAACCTTTGGAGCGAGTGTATTATTGGGATAATCTACTCGCTACAGGGTGTCTCGCTACTCGCTACTCGCTATGGGTGTTCGTGTCACTCCGAGGTCACCAATGTAACGGTTCTATTGTTACGTAAACTATGGTGACAAATAAACACAGACACTAAGATACTATATATATATTTGGTCGAATATACAGAAGTACACAGGTGATACTTTGGTGTGAGTTGAGCGCACTGAGCGTCGGTACAGTATCTCGCAAGTGTCTGCTCTAGACCACACTTGAAAGTAGACTAGCCAATGTTCGCTACACCGCTGCTTATATGCTCGGGCAGCACCTCACCGTGTTGCCCAGGCAACGCCTCACCTCATTCATCTCCAAAGGTTGACAGGAATATTAACAATGCATTTGGAGCGAGTATATTATTGGGATAATCTACTCGCTACAACCTAATCGTCTCGTGTCCGAAACGACCATATTCCGACCAGTTGTGTAGCCAGAGCTCGACCAGTTGTGTACCCACAGGCCTAGCAAACCTCACCTAACCAGACAAACACCTCCCTTACTCTACCAAGCACACCTAGAGCTCTACCAAAGTTGGGAGGGTCCACAGAAGAGAACGTGGTTGTAAGTATAGGTCCACATGCAGGCATGGGCCCCAGTGCTCATCATCTGGGTTGGAGGGCAGTTTTTTTTAGTTTAGTTCATTTATTATGCACCCCATACCCATCTTGTGGGCGGTAGTGGAAAGGGTTACAGAGGCACATAATAGGCTCAGGGACTGAACCCCACAATTCATTTAGCTAAGCAAGTTACAATCTTGATGAGCTAGTTACAAAATTCAATATGTCATCACATCAACAATGGGTTCGGTTAGGTGCATATAATGATTTATTTATTTATTTATTTATTTATATACAAGAAGGTACATTGGGTTTATTAGAGTACAGAGACTTGAAGTTTTACATTCATGTAAAGCCACTAGCACGCATAGCGTTTCGGGCAGATTTATTTTTCGATTTTCAGATTTTCGGGATTTATTTATGTATATATAAAAGAAGGTACATTGGGTTTATGAGAGTACAAAGCATTGATTTTTTTTTTTACATTCTTGTAAAGCCAATAATACGCATAGCGGTTCGGGCAGGGCGTTTCGGCCGTAATCCTATTATATACTATGGGGATAGTTATACTTGTATATAATAATATGTATTAAAGGTAAATGCCTAACATGTAATATTAATGAGTAAAAACAAAGTCAGAAGCCACACGCTTGTTTCCATATATCTTTTGTGTTAAAGTATTTTGGGCGCTCTTATACTTGAGCGCTAGAAGGCGTTCATGGCTGATCTCTCCTTTAGTCAACCTTTATTCCCGGCCCCGGGTATACTTTTTATTTATTTATTTATTTATATATACAAGAGTTCTTACATTCTTATACAGCCACTAGTACGCGTAGCGTTTCGGACAAGTCCTTAATCCTTTGTTCCCTGGAATACGACCCCGCGGAAAATCGTTTAACAACCAAGTACTCATTTTACTGTTAAATTAAACAGAGAATACAGTTAAGGATTTGTGCCCAGTAAATCCTCCCCCGTACCATACCCTCTAGTACTCGTTGTGTTTTTGGGTGTTGAGCCTTGGCTCGTGACATAACGAATTATATTATTTAATAACAACTGAGATAACGAATTATATTATTTATTGTTGAACACATGGAACTGCCTACCAGCCAAAGCCGTATAGTTGCTAAAACATTAAAATCCAGCTGGAAAATCCTCAAACTATGGAGGGCCTTTGACAAGTCGCCAGCTTCCTGTCTCCAATGAAGTCATAAAGATATAGAGGAATTCAGGATTGATTGATTGATAGGGGATTAAGCCACCCAAAAGGGTGGAAGGACATTCAGGTAAATTTATATGCATTTTTTTATCAATTACAATTAATTGGTTCCTCGATGTACCAATAACCTAACCATAGTTTCTCTTAAAGAAAGTTTTTTTTAATTTATGGACAGAAAATATACTAATCGCTAAGGTTTTAGTCAATTCGTATTCGTTTAGGGGATCGTATTCCAGGGACCATAGGATTAAGGACCTGCCCGAAACGCTACGCGTACTAGTGGCTGTACAAGAATGTAACAACTCTTGTATATATCTCAAAAAAAAAAAAAAAAAAAATCATGCCCGAAACGCTTTGCGTAATAGTGGCTTTAGCATTGTATGTACTAGCTCTATCTATAAATCCATCAATCTTTGTAAAATCTCTTGTATGTATGTACCTTACCTAAATAAACATCTATTTATTATTATTATTATATCATGGCAATATTAAATTGGAACCATCGTGCGGTCGGGGGCGGCGCCTGCGCAGTGGCCATTATTTACATGTAGCGTGTGTCCCCCGCCTGGCTGTATCAGCTGAGACCTTTGAGGAGCGGCGTCCACGTGAATAATGGCCGATAAGCTGAACGACCTGGCTGGGCGCCTGGGCAAGGGTCCCCGAGGCCTGGGTACCGGCCTGAAGGTGCTAGCGGCTGCCGGAGCCGCAGCCTACGGCCTGTCACAGTCACTTTACACAGGTCGGTGCCGCGGCGTCGTCTGCTCCTGCCGGTGGTGGGCCATGTTTTAATGTTTCCATTTTATCATTGTTGTTGTTATAGATTCAGATACTCGGAACAAGTTCCAAGTAGCACGGGCTATGGTGAGCCCGTCGTGGACTTACCTGGCACAGGAGCGAGGCTGTGTATGTGCCATTTTATCAGTCTCGTGGGCCTTTTGTACTCGAACTGTAATGATACAGGGGTTTCGTACTAAGATTATTTTTTGTCCTGTTCAGAAAAAATGGTTTATTTATTTATTTATTTTTTTTTTTTTTGCGTTTTTGTGCAAACGTGAGCTGGAATCTTTCTGTCGAACGGAAGCGTATGGGCATGTTTTCTTTCTCCTAGCAGTAAATAGGTTCTAGGGAGCTAGTCGGTATACTATTTGTTCTAGAGGAGCCTTGATGAGCATTATTACAGGCTTCCTGTCCCCGATAAGAGGAATTCAAACTGGAGTATTGATGAACCTGATTTACAAAACTATATAGAGCCAAATGTGGTTTGTGGGCTAACTGTACAACTCTAATTATCCCTAATAAAATTAGCTGCATGTAATTAACTATTTGAGGTGTACTGATGCCATTGCATTATTTTCCAACACCTGTCCTGTTATACAGTAATCACTTGCTTAATTTGGATTGTAGGTAGAAAGCCTCCATCCGTGTTAGGCAGAGATGGGGCCTGAAATTTTTAATGGGCAAAAAGCAAATTTGTAGCACAACTTTTGGCATTCATGTTTTCACAAGATCACATTGATAAGCAATAATAATTATTACCAAGAATGTGTACAAAGAACATATGAAGAGACAATTATAGGTACAGGGGTTACATGTACAAATGAAGCCACTACTACACAAAACATTTTGAACAAACCTTAGAAAATTTAAATAAAAATATTTATATTATAGTAGCTTTTTTGATAGTCAAATTGATCTTACATTTTAACTGAACCTTTGTGGACTTCAAAGCTGTTTTAATCACTCCAATTGGAATAATGTACTATATATTGTACTTACAACGTAGAAATGTAGTACCATACACATTTAAACTGAAGGACTTTTTCATTGTGTGTTTAGTAGCAATTTAATCAATTTACCAGATCCCTAAAATTAATGTAAGAGTGTTTAGCAAACTCGGCTTTGCTGCCAGATGTTGAAACTTCACTGGTTAAAGGTCTTTGCCATTCAGATCTTGCCAAATATGTATATTTTGGCATGTCTTTATTGACCTTTTTTATGATCAGTTCTTTGGCACGCCTGTACATTTGTATCCCCAGCTCAAAGATCTGGGGATTCACTGTTGGAAGCAGTCTTATGAGTAATGCTTGCTTTAAAAGAAATGTATTTTCCAGTTTGTGGTGGTTGTTATAGATTCAGCTACTCGGAACAAGTTCCTAGTAGCACGGGCTATGGTGAGCCCGTAACTTACTGGCACAAGAGCGGGGCAAGTAGCACGGGCTATGGTGAGCTATGGTGCCATTAATGCTCTGAGCAATCTCTTCAGTCATCAGATTATTATCAGGGCCATTAGCACCTTCAGGTTAATTGGTTTTTGCTTCACTATAGTTTGAGTTTGCATTAAAGAAAAAGTTCACTTAAAACCCTTAAGATAGTGTCACCTTGTTGTATCACATGAGAGGTCAGAAATACACAAGTTCCTTGCAGGTTCGGGATGGGTCCAGTCCCAAACTAGTTCACTACTGTATTTTGAATAGTCCAGATTACTTGTAGATGGCTTTCATAAGCCTTAGCAAGTTTATAATGGCTCAACCCAGCTTAACCTAATATGGTGCTTAGCATACTATTTATGGAGGATTTTGCTTGCTTTAGTGTTTTATTTATAAGTACAGTACTGAATATTAAATTTGAAATAGAATTAAGTGTTGGTATAATCCTTCAAGTAATTGTGAAACTTTCATATTTGTGACTGGCCTTTTAAGTGCATTATAGAAATATGAAACCTGCAAATGAAATGGCCTTCATACTCTTATATCAAGACTGTTATCCGGTTTGTTCTTTCTTGGAAGCAAATTGAACCAGATTAAAATTTATTAATGGTTAGAGCAATGTCTAGTTAATGAAGTTATAGTATTTAGTTTAAAAGAATGTTCATAATAAAGTACAAATGTTTCTTTCAGTTGAGGGTGGTCACCGTGCCATCATCTTCAGCCGAATTGGTGGAATTCAGCCAGACATATACACTGAAGGATTACATTTTCGCATACCTTGGTTCCAGTATCCAGTCATCTATGATATCAGGTTTAGTAATTAATCTTGTATTTTAGTAAAACATTATAAATGTTTGTAATAGTGATTTTTTTTTTTTTTTTTTTTTTTTTACAGGGATATTCCTGCGTGGGCCCTAAGCCTCTGACTGGCCCACTAAGTGTTGCTTGTTTCTTTTTTACTTGGGCGGAGTATGAGTATTTATTACTCGTATGGTCGCTTCAGTAAGATTTTGCCATATGTGTTTAACAACTTCTTCTGCCCTGTTGAATCAAAGTTGAAATCTTAATGGGTTTGTAACTGTGCACTGTGTTAGATAATGTTCCAGTGGTCTGTCGGACATTTCTCCACAGTGCTGACATTTCCTCTCGTCTTCCGGAACCTGTAAGCCTATTTCCCATGCACATGGGTATCCAAGCCTGATGCGATGTAAGTGCACTTCTGTTGCTCTACTGCTCCCTTTCATCAAACTAAGTGGTTCGTAGTTGGTTGAATTCTTGTACCAATCCGCAGATCCTGATGTTGCAACTGCTGTGTTGTGGTCACTGTACATCTTTTGCATTGCTCTGTTTCTAATTATTTTCTTAATTTGTGATAGACTCTGTGGTATGTAAATGTCTACATTTCTTCTTAGTTGCAAGTTTTTCAGCTTCGTCTGCAAAGTAATTTCCTATTATTCTCACATGACTTGGCACCCAGTTGATGAGTACCCGTCTGCCTTGTCGTTTGAGTGTGTGCATGAATGACAAGACATTTGTGATCAGTTGTATGTTATCACACATGTGTTCTTGTTGCAAGGTTTCAATGGCAGTTCTTGAATCCGTATGTATGATAACATGTTGTCGGTGTTGAGCAAGAGCATGTTCCAAAGACTTTTGAATGGCTAGCATCTCTGTTTGTAAAGTCAAACACCCATTTGAGAGCCTCCAACTATTTACCGAGTTTCCTGCTTTAACTACAGCTCCGGTTTCTTGTCCCTGCTGGTCTACTGATCCATCTGTGAAGTAAATGAAGCTGTTGGATGCCATGTTTGCTTCTATATGCATCTGTGCAATGTTACGTAGCAGATGAGGATTTGTCTGGTTCTTTTTTCCTTCAATAACCATAATCTTGAAGTTTGCTGGCAGAGATTCTCAAGGGGCTTGCATAACAAAGTCTGCATGTATTTCGTCGACACCCTTCTCAGTGTTCCAGTATGCCCACCCTTCTCAGTCCCTTTTACCACCCTTCTCAGTATGTAAAATGCATTAATAACACTTTGTGTCAGGCGCTGCTCCTAGATGAGGCCCTGTGATTGCTTTCATTATATTTAGTCGTGATTTTGCTTTCTCCTTTAGATATTGAATTTGCTTGTTGAATGTCATTTTAAAATCTATCCACACTCCGAGATATTGATATTGTGTAACCCATTGAAGGTTAATGTCTTGAATGCGTAGGTGCCTGTCTGGAGTGTTGCCGCCTAGTCTCATTGCGTAGACTTCTGTGCAGATATTTTTAGCCCTAAAACGCTGCATTCAGATGTTACTTTATCTAATGCACCTTGTGCTTTATTTAGAAGTGAAGGACCTGTAATGACTACTGTTATATCATCAGTATAGCTTAGCAATTTAACCCCTTCTGTAAATGTCATGGTAACAAGGTTTTCCATAAGGATGCTAAAAAGACTAGGACTGAGGACTACTCCTTGTGGAGTCCCATTCTCATGCAAGTGGTAGTCCGACACTTGTCCTTGCAACTTAACTCTGGCATACCTGTGACTTGGGTAATCTTGAATCCATGCTAGCATTTTTCACTTTACACCTTTTTTAACTAAGGTGTGTAAAATTGCTTGCAGGCTTGCAAGTTCGAATGCTTTTTCTAGATCAAGGAAGATCACTATAGCTGGACCCGAGTTAACTGTTCCTAGTAATGTTGCTATGCAGTTGGCAGTACCTACTCCTCTAGTGAAGCCAAATGTGTGTTTATGAAGGCCTCCAGTCTTCCACAGTAGCCTATTTAAGACCATCTGTTCTGCAGTTTTACTAATGCATGATGTTAATGAAATGGGTCTGTATTTGCCAGGTTCTTTCGGCTTAGGAATCGGTACGATGTCTGCTTTCTTCCAAGAGGTTGGTAGTTTGCCTTGCTGCCAAGATGCATTAATGACATCCAATATTCCTTGTTCTCCAGCAGGACCTGCATGTGCGATCATTGAGTATGTAATGTTATCAGCACTTGGTGCAGTGTCCTTACCACCTTTTTTGGCTCTGATTAGTTCTTGTTTGGTGACGGGACAGTCACATTCGTCATTTATAGCTATGCTCTCATGAATGACTGTCAACCTCTCTTGTTTTAATTGTTCTTGCTGCCTTCGGACCATTGCAGGAAGCCGATATGAAGCTGTTCTTTCTACAAATTGGAGAGCAAGTCTCTCGGCCTCCTGCAATGGTTGAATACATGCCTGTGGTCGGGCTGGTCGACCTGATATAGTTTTAATCTGACCCCATATCTTGCCAAGACTACTACTGTTCATTTAGAGTTTGACACCACTCAAACCATCTTGCCTCCTTTACTTCTCTAGAAACTCGTCTTGCTTCAGATATCACCGCTCTTAGCAGAGTTCTTCCTTCTGGTGTGGGGGTTCTCTTTAGATGTTTTCTGAAGATGTTGACTCTGTGGTTCTGTTCTTTACTTCACTTCATTACTATAGAACCAATAGTTCTTTCGTTTTGTGTTTCCTGTGATAATGATTGGAATAGCTTTGTTTGCAGCAGCTGCAATGGCTTCCTGCAGATTGGTCTCGTGTAGGTTCAAATCCTCAGGTGGCGTGTATGTTGCATACCATTTTTCAAGTTCTTCTTGGTATATATTCCAATTGGCCTTTCTTAAATTCCACCTAGGTTGTGCAGGTGGTGTAGGTTGTCGTTTTATGTTTAGTGTTGTGACAGTAGCATAGTGGTCACTGGTGATCACTGGGTCTACTTCCCACTTTGCCTGATGCTGTTGCTGTTGAGATTAATGTAAGATCAAGGGAACCTCCTAGAATGTGAGTGGGTTCCCCAGTGTTGAGAAGTGTAATTTCAGGTACTTCTCACAGAGCTGCAGCTAAATGGCGCCTATCTGCATTGGCTGGCCCAGTCGCACCTAACTCTTGATGATGAGCATTAAAATCCCCAGCAATAATTACATTTTCCTGCATGGCCAAGGCAATCACTGCCTCTGCTTCTAGTTGACGTCTAGGGGGCTTGTAAACGTTGTATATGAAAAGCTCAATATTAGCCATATTCACTGTTACTGCTAATACCTCTACTCCAGGGGTGGGCAACCTCTGGCACGCGTGCCAAACTTGGCACGCGTGCCAAACTTGGCACGCCGATGACTTGTCTCTGGCACGCAAGAGCATAGGTTACCCTAAGCACAGATGCAAGCACATGTTACCCTAAGCACAGAAAAAAAACTACTTTCCTTGGGGTATAAGCTTACATGCCATGACAGTATTTGTACGTCCTGGTGGTGAAGAGGTTTAAGCTCTACGAAGCTAAAGAGGTCTCAAGAAAAAGAAGTTGATCTTGTTGCCATAGTTACCTCCTTTTTTTACGTCATCGATCATGCCGATGTATGATGATTCCCCTCTATTTACTTTGGCTCATATTTTATGTAATAAGCCTTTCTAACCTAAAGGCTGCACCCATAACCATAGTGTACACTGACAATCATATCTGTGAAGGCAAAATACGCCATGCCTGCCCACCTTTAAAAATTAATTTCGTAAACTTAGAATTTAAACCCCCACAACATCTCCCCCCCCTAAACCTCATGTGTTTGAATGCCGCCCGACTTCAGTTTGACGCATATTAATTAAATTCGCTTTACTATCTAAATCTAAAGCATCTTCACCTTCGAAAGCTAAAGAAAGATAAGAATTCTTATGCTCTCCCCTTCTCTCCATTGACGGCCGTAATATAACCAGTGAAATCAACAGTCCCCCACCCCCCATGAAGTCCCCGTAATGAACACATGTTCAGACGATCTCAGACTCGTAACACTCTCTCGCAGTCTTGCTTCATAGTGTTTCTCACAGTTGCTCACTTGCCTCCTCCCCGAGAAGAAGGTCAGTACTTCATCTCCAGGTGAAAATTATTCCCCTTATAAATCAATAACTTTGTGAAACTCAATATCATTGTAAGAATAGTCTTAATCCTTAAATTCACACGTACTCGCTCGCCTGCTCCCTAAGAACAGAGCTGACATAAGCAAGATGTCACCGACTCAACGATGTTTCGCCACAACACACCACACAAACACACAAAAACGTGACTATCGAACCAAGTGAAGTCTTATAAACTCTTGGCATAAGTACTAAATGCCTAGGAAGTAGTGTCTTTGTGATAAGCGGCTGCTGGTGTTGTTTCTGGAATTATGTAAAATAAAGAAAACCCTCTAATTTTCATAAAAGTTCTCTACAAGATTTGCCAAATTCAGAGAACTGGAAGACACAGTAAAGTTCATCAAGTTTCCAGATAGCATCAAAATGGATGAACTAAACTTGCAAATGCTTTCATGGATAGACATGGATGATTTTGAGATGCAGTTGATTGAATTTCAGAGTAGCTCAATTTGGAAGCAGAAATTTGTTGACCTTAGAGTTGACTTGGAAAATATTGAAAGAGAGAGATTAGAGATGAAAGTAACAAAGAGAAATGCGGAAAACGAAGTATTAAGGACTTGGAATACTATTCCAGAAAATTATGTCTGTTTAAAAAACCTTGCAACAGCATTGCTAACCATGTTTTCGTCTACATATGCTTGCGAATCTTTGTTCTCAATTATGAACTTTAAGTCTCGTAACAGGAGTAGCATGACAGATGAAACTAGCGCTGCATGCATATCTCTCAATGTTACTAAATATAAACCCGATGTAAAATCTGTCATCAGTTATGCAGCAGCAGAAGTCTCACTGACAGTATATAAAAGGAGTCAACAAGTTTTTTATCTGTTGTATTCTATTAAAGTCACAAAAGCTTAAAGGCTGTTGAAATGTACTTCTGAAGGTTAAATAATTTTTTTTCTGTTTTTTTTTATACTATGTTTTACTGCACTGAGGTAATTTATTATTTTTTCGTTTAAAAAGTTCTTAAGAGATACCAAATATGTTCTAAAAAAAATGGTTGGCACGTGGAAAAAGTTTGTGTCAGAGACTTGGCTGATTTTGGCACGCACTCTCAAAAAGGTTGCCCACCCCTGCTCTACTCCATCCCCACATGAAACTGGGTCTATTTTCTTGCTGGGTATGGTGTTCCTGACTAGGGTCATTAATCCTCTGTCTCTCTCTCCTGCTCATACGGTATAACATAGTGCTGATATCCAGCTAATCTGAAGGATTTCGTGGCTGGGAAAAGAGTTTCTTCCAAAACGATTATATCTGCTTTCGTGCTGATTGCAGCCTCCTGAGGTGTGTGGTTTTTATTTCCAAGACCTTGTATGTTCCACTGCAGTATTTGTAATGGTCAGACGACGGTTTCGGTTGGCGTTGCCTGTTCTACCAGAACTCCTCTTCGGGATCGACCTCTCTATTCTCCACCTCGCAAGTCATGTCGCTACAAATTGGACTGCATTGATTGTTCGTGGTCATCCCCGGTATTGTTGGAATCTCTGCATAACTGTGGTCCATCACTTTGTTGGTATTGCTGCATGTCGGACTGCATTGATTGCTCGTGGCTCTTTCTTGTGTTGTTGGAACCTGTGCATCTCTGCTGTTCAATGCGTCTTTTTTGGTGTTGTTGCATATCAGACTGCATTGGCTGTTGTTGTCTGTCTCTTGTGTTGTAAGATTCTGTTGATATTGGGTGGTCACTGCTTCTTGCAGTTGCTTTTGTAAATGTTGTTCTGGTGTCTTGACTACCCGACTGTTGTTGGAAGTCTGTATGTCCATGTTGCGTTGTTTGTCCTCTTGTGCTCCATCTTGTCTCAGACTGTCTATTTCTTGTGTAACTGGTCTGCTGCACGATCTTGTCCATTATCACACAAGTGATTTCTTGAGTCTGTTGCTGTGAGGCGTTCTGTGTCATCTGTAGGCAATTGATAATGGTCTCTGCCATGATCTTCACGATTTTCAGCTGGACCTCGGTAAAACTGTATATCTGTTGTGTTGATTCCGAAAGTAATTGTTTTTTGCTCTTATGCATTTGCTGTATTTCTGCAGCACTTTTGTGTATTTTCTGATTTGGAATTTATAGATTCGGGAAATTTTGCTCTGTGAGAGTGGGTGTGTGTTGTGGCTGTGCACGAGTGTTCCAGACGTTGGTGTTGGTGTATGTAGTGCTGGTCTGTGTGTTTATCCTGGCCTGAGCTGTCTGCACTTTTTCTTTCCGTGCAGAGCAGGTTGTGCTCCAGGCATGATGTTTGCCTCCACAATTTGGACATTTGGCTGTTGTGGCCTGGTTTGCCTTGTGCTTGGCTATACAGTCTTTGGTTGGATGTCTCGGGCTGCACACTCCGCATCTCTCCTGTCCGGTGCAGCGTGATTGATGGTGGCCGTATTTCTGACACCTGAAGCAGCGCAGGGGTTCTGGGACGTATGGTCTCTGTCGGTATGTTCCCCAATTTCTAAGACTGAATGTTTCTGGCACATGTCCCATGACGGTCACCAGAACCTGACATGTCGCTGCCTTGTCTACTTTTGTGCGACATCGTTCCGCATTCAGGATTTGCTTGTGTTCTAGTACTGGATCCAGGGGAAAGTCGATTGGGTATCCCAAAAGCACGACTCGTGTGCGTCTTTCTGAAGGGTCCAGCTTTTCCAAGCATACAGGTTTCCCTTGCAGGACTTACTTTTTCTAAGTAATTTGCAGTCTGTTGGTCTTGTGGTGTGTTTATTATTTCTCCTTTCAGGTTGACTGTAATGGAAAGTTTGAGCTCTGGTTGTTCTTTTTCTATTGCCGTTACTACTCCATATGCTGTAGGAAAGTGGTCTGTCTGCATTATCTTGAATTTTGGAAGATGTGTAGAGTCTGGCGATGTCTGGTGTGAGACTGGTGGTGTCCTCTCCTGTCTCATACCGTTGTCCTGTAGCTGGGCTGTGGAGAGAGGTACATTGTCTGACACTGGCTGGTGTGAGACTGGCGGTGTCCTTTCCTGTCTCATACCGTTGTCCTGTGGCTGGGCTGTGGAGAGAGGTACATTGTCTGACACTGGCTGGTGTGAGACTGGTGGTGTCCTCTCTATACTGGTCCTGTGTTGTGGATTGTCTGACACTGGCTCTGCTGGTCTTGTCTGCTGTAGAAGCAAGTGGTGAAGCCTCGATAGCAGTTTTCTTCGGTACCTGCTGCACATCGGTCCACCGTCCCTCCTCGTCTGAAAGCTGCCTCCATTTCCTCTTTCTCTTAGCCTTCCCCATGACTCTCTCTCCACGTAGTGAGAACCGAATCACTGCCCTACCTAATGCCTGAGACACTCCTAGGCCTGGAGAAATTCATTCCCCTCCAACGGAGGTCGTAGAATGATTCCCCCAGGTGGAATCGGGGATACCTAACACCTAAAGGAGCTGTTTGGTCTACCTTTCCCTGTCAGGCTCTGTACACCTTCTAAGGTGCCCCCTTGTGGCGCTGCCCGCAGGGTATCGCCTCGCCCTTCAGGGTAGGACTCTTTAAGTGACCTGGTCAGTGATACGATCCTCGCAAAAAAAAAAAGTGCGGTACGAGAGTTTGGGTCGCCTGCGTACTGGGTTGCGCAGAATACCAGTCAGCTGGGCAGCAGGTAATCAACAACGTTGTTTCTCCGTCAATTGTAGACGAAATCGGAATTGTTTCCTTCAAAACAAGATATTGTCTGGGTCTTGGAGTACTGATGTATTCTTCCTCACAAAATCGTGATGAATGGAGCTGATGAGTGCTCAGAATCGTGAGTTTTTCCGGGAACAAATCCGTGTGCGGCCAGCTATCAATGACGCCGGCAGTGAGTCTCCACAGTGAAATAACACTATTGTGATATATCAATGAGAAAATCCACAGGAATTGGATCCTCTAGTCCACGGACGGGGGGGGGGGAGGGGGGGCTAGCGTTTAGAGCGTGTGTCTGGGAATACCCAGTGCATAGGTTTGAATCCTCATCATGGCTCTTGTTGATTTTCTTATGTTAAGTTATAAAGTTTGTTTATACAGTACACTGTAATATTATAATTGGAGTTCATCGATGATGTACATGTTGATGAATACTGTATTTTGTACAGTACTGATATGTATACTGATGAATATGTACACTTGGTATGTCTTTTTAAACTAAAATGGGCAGAAGTACAGTAAATCACAAGCTTTAGCTTGGAACAGTAATGTTTAAACATTTGTATATAATTTTTGTATCACATTTTATCATGCTACAGTCTTTTGACCTGTTGCATTGTATTTATTCGAGGACAGTGACCTCAACATGTTGCCACAAATATTTCAGTCAATGAAAGAAACTGATGAATGAAATCGGATTATAACATGTGTTCATGTTGCAGGGCTCGCCCAAGGAAGATCACTTCTCCTACAGGAAGCAAAGATTTGCAAATGGTGAACATTTCTCTGAGAGTTTTGTCAAGACCTGTGGGTACATCCATTCCAATTATTCATCAAACTCTGGGTCTTGACTTTGATGAGAAGGTAAAGTATATTTTCTGTCCAGTGTTTTTATAATACAGAACAAATCTGCAAATATTTATTACTACTAATGCATGCACTTATTGATTTGTTTGTATATATGATAAATTTATTATTACCTTGTATATACATTACCAGGCAAAACTTGAACAAATTTAATATTGTATTAGTCATTCATCTTGTACCTGTACACACGTTTTCTAAACTACTGGCATAATTTTTCGAGAAGTCTATACATTTTATTTGGTGTCTTGTCCTCCAATGTATTCCCAGAAAATACTTGGTAGTTATTTTACTAATAAGATTTTCTTTCCAGGTTCTTCCATCTATATGCAATGAAGTTCTTAAGTCTGTTGTAGCAAAATTCAATGCAGCCCAGTTGATTACCATGAGACAGCAGGTGAGGTTAAACAGTTATAATTTAGCCTATCTATGTATAAATACAGTATATGATTTTTGCTCACGTTCAAAGGAATTCCCCCTCCCCCTATTTTAGTAGCGAGTATGTTTTGGCATTTTTAGGAGCGAGTTACAAGGAACTCGAAATGCAAAGTAAGCTTTCAAACATTTGAAGAATTTTTTTTTATATTAATATAAATGAACAAATTGAATCTGCTCTACAAACGTTTATCACAAACTTGTTTATTGATGACAGTTTCAGTAAGGTCATACATGCATACATAAATATTACTCATTTTCCCATCCCATGAAAGTGGGGAAAACCACTTCGTAAGACCAGGTGCAGTGTTCCTCGTGATTTGCCATACATATTGCATACAAATATCTCGTCTTATTTAGCTGTAGTTATTTCAATTGTTATTTTATAGGTTTCACTGATGATACGTCGTGACTTGACCCAGCGTGCAGAAGACTTCAACATCATTCTTGATGATGTGTCTATTACAGAGCTGAGTTTTGGTCGGGAGTACACTTCGGCTGTAGAAGCTAAACAGGTAAGTTGTGCTCTTTATTATATGTGCAGTTCACGTGTAGGTTTCTCCTGATTACTGCACAAGTGGTATTGTAGGTGCTGTCACAACATGTTAATTTTTTTGAAAGGTGATTAATGGATGGTTTATTGACATTGATTGGTTGCTCTATTGCTATTGCAATGTTTTAAGTTTCCTATGGTACTGTAGTGGGTAATTTCATTTGTATATATGATTTGTGTCGTCTTAACTTTTTGATTAGAGATATTTAACTAGTGTTTTTGACCAGTTTTATATGTAGTGGGAGGTCTCCTCGTGTATACTAGATGTTAAACGTCACTTGGAAAATGACGAAGTTTGCTTGAATCCGATTCTGGCGCTGATGTCTGAAGCAGTATAGAAGTGAGTGAGTGTTTGTGTGGAATGTGCCAGTGGATGTAGTTTTCATTGAGGTCTGTTCTGTATTTATAGCTTTTTTCTGCTAATTTGGTGTGTCCCGGCCTTTGTCTGGTTATTGTTATAACCACATTTGTTTATCCCTTAATGTTTTAATTGCTCGTCATCCATGCTTGAAGTGGTTGTGGAAGCCACACATTACTGGTGTTTTAAGATTTATTATTGTGGTTGTGGGGTCCATCAGTATAGATTGCAGTTGTTGGTGTAGAAGTTTTGTTGTGAAGGTTGAGATTATGGCTTTTTTTTCTATTGCTGATTTTTTTTACATATAGATATATTCATGCTGTCTATATAGAAGTGAAGTTGCATATGGAAATTGGAGACACGATTTTCACAATTCTGGAATATGGCAAGTCAGTAGTGAGTTTGAGTAGCAGAGGAAAGAGTCAAGCCTTTGGTTGTTTGGGGACATGTTTGATCAGTATAGATGTGTTAAGTGATAGAGGGCTAGATAGTTGGCACACAAATGGTGGTGGTTATTGTGGGGAAGCTTGTGAAGATTGATTCCTTCATGCTTGGATAGAATGTAATGTCTTGATAATGATTCACCAAGGCTATTGGTATTGAATGTCGATGTTCCATTTTCATTTCATTTACGTATCATAATTTAGTTGGTCAGTGATTTTTCCAAGGTTAAATTTTGTATGCAAATTCATTAGTTGTAATTCTTCACTTTAATATTTAATAAAGAATTATTTGAACACTGAGAATTCAATAATGGAGTAACTGCATATTGAAATCATCCACAAGACTGTATGCACTAAAATTATTTCACGGCTGTACAAATTGTATGTCGTGTATTCGTCAACGCACCTTGTAGGGAATTCCTTTTTCAATTAATCCTCGAGAGTAGAATTGTCTAGCTCCTGTAAAGATTTCCTTTCACAGCTATGAAAATTTGACGACAATAGTAACCTTTATGACAATAAATTATCATAAAGCTTAATATGGGTGACAATATTAAGCTTCTGTCTATAATGTTTAGGTATCACTGTGTGTGTGTGTGTACATGTCATTTCTGTATGGAAGCCATGGGTACACATATACTCTAAAAGTATGTCTTGTATTCATTCGGATATCTTTACCCCAATAGATAAACGGTTTGGTGGAGCTTGTTACGTTTTCAAACTTGTTAAGCACGCTTTGTGCTTAACAATTTTCATCAAATAATGTGTATTAAATATAAAATTTGAGATTTACCCATATTTTACCTGTAGTCAGTTTAGAGAGTTGTTCTTGCTAACCTAGGCTTGTTTGGTGATAACTTGCTCCATTGCTTTATTATATTATTTGGTTGATCTTGTAATTTTCAGGTAGCACAGCAGGAGGCCCAGAGAGCCTCCTTCGTTGTGGAGCGTGCCAGACAGGAGAGGCAACAGAAAATTGTCCAGGCTGAGGGTGAAGCAGAAGCTGCTAAATTGATATCCTTTTCATACAGTTCATTTGTAGTTTGTGTGTGGTAATAATTTATATATCCATAAGTTGGGTAATTTACATTTTGCAGATTTTGAAATTTCTGTAAATTACTTGAATCTTATACATTGATTATTTATAATATTTATAATCAATTTTATATCTAAATTAACTTTAGTAAATGTGCAAATTCTTGTGTGTTTTCGACACAGCCTCCCACCATCCTGCCTGTAAAGTCATGTGAAAGCATGATTTTATTTTAAACTTAAGATTACCATGTAATGTATGAGGAGTTTTTCTATAAAATTTGTTTTTCATTTAATTTTGCTCATAGATGAATTGGTAGTAAATCTTTGCTTTGGATGATAAGCAAGCTTGTTCAATCCTTGGTCAACATGTTAAGAGCTAATTTTTAACCCGTCTCCTCAAGGGCAGATTGCTTACTCAGTGTAGGGACCAAAAATATTTGAGTGTACCGATTTATTGGTCCGAATTTACTATGACAAACTCGGAAAACAGGAAGGTATTCCTCCCCTGTTTGGTTAAATGGTATTTAAATGGTTGGGTCTGAAGTCAGTGGGAATATAGACATAAGTGGTTTATGGAACCTATGGTGGTTTAAACCAGATTTGAAACTGTAAATGTGATTTGATCCAAAATCAAACTTTGGATACTGAACTTGCTAGACCAGTACAATAAAAATTAAACTAACTATATCTGTGAATGGAAATGTACATCTAAAACTAGATTTTTACAAGGAAATATATATTTTTTGTATATAAAAACCTGAAACAGTCAGGCAAGGAGTACCTAAAGCTTAACATTTTCTGCGCTGTATAAATCACCGTATCCCCCAGACTTCTGGTGGGTTGGGGCACTTACCCATTTTCCTGGGTATCTGCTTTTCTTGTGGAGAATACATGGTAGGTTTGCAGGAGATCATGATATTTGATACCATTCCCCTTCCCCCCCCCCCCCCCCCCCCCCCCCCCCCCCCCCCCACACCCACACACACACACACACACACACACACACACACACACACACACACACACACACACACACACACACACACACACACACACACACACACACACACACACACACACACACACACACACACACACACACACACACACCCACACACACACACACACACACACACACACACACACACACACACACACACACACACACCCACACAACACACACACACACACACACACACACACACACACACACACACACACACACACACACACACACACACACACACACACACACACACACACACACACACACACACACACACACACACACACACGCACACACATACACACACACACACAACACACACACACACACACACACACCCACACACACACACACACACACACACACACACACACACACACACACACACACCACACACACACACACACACACACACCACACACACACACACACACACATATATATATATATATATGCATACACAAAAAAGTCAGGTGTGGTGTTGTTTGAAGATGAGGGTGAATGTGGATTGGGTGCAGTCAAGGAATCTTATGGAGGGGTTGATTGGTGCAGAAACTAAGTGAATAATGTACTAGCTGTTTGTGATTTCTTTTAACTTCAATTACTGTAAGTTGAGAGAAGTGACAAATGACTATATGTGTGTTTAATCCACATAATTTCATATGGGAAGGAGGCACATAATGCAGTATGGTCTTGATACAAATGACTACAGTACCTCCTTTATTATTTTTGGCATATGTATATGGCAATGCCACCACTTCCTACAATATTGATGAGAGACCTGTATTTTCTGTGATATAGAAATATGAGTTTGGGGTAATTAGAAATTAAGATTTGGTAGGTGCATTCGTAGCAACTTGTACGAATCTTTGCACTTTTGTGTCTTCCATTATTGATGGCCAAATATCTCTGTAAAAAAATAGTTGAGTTGATGAAAAACTTAATTTTGCAATTAAAATAAATCTTTTCTTCCAGATTTTCCTTAACTTTGGTTTACTTAGGAACAGCTATTAGCATGAATCCTGGCTACCTGAAACTGCGCAAAATCAAAGCAGCTGTAAACATTGGCAGGACGGTATGTTTTATGATGGGCTTTGTAATTTTGTTCGTCTGGATTTTATTATTATATCCGCATTTATTTTTAACTTCATTCCTCACGTGCACCAACTATCCTCACTTTTACATTATTATGCCTTGCAACCCATATGGAGCTGCAAAATGAAGATTTTAATGATGGCTAATGATAAAAGTTTAGGTTGTCCATATGCTTTAGATTTCTACACTGTTTTGCAATTTATCCTCTAACCATTATGATGTACAATACACCATAATATATTAAGAGCATGTAACTGCTAGAATGCCTTAGGGGTACTTTAAATTATCTTTAATAGTGTGTGTGTGTAATTTGCTGCTTGGTGGATTGTTCATTGCCTTGAATGGATGATGACTTTGTTGTTGGTTCTTCCTCGTGATATGAAGGTGCCTTGCACATGACCCATGGAGTGCTTTAATGATTCTGAAGGATTGGAGATCGTCTTAAAACCAAATGTGTGTCGATGACAGTTCTCGGTGATGCTCGACTCCTTCAACATAGATTAACTTAATGTTTTTCTGTTCCCATATAAGTATTCCTAGTGATATCTAGGGACATTTGAATTGTTTGTGCCTTGTATTGTACCATATTGTATAGACCGAGGGAGACCGGTCGGACCTTGTATAGACCGAGGGAGCCGGTCGGCCGAGCGGACAGCACGCTGGACTTGTGATCCTGTGGTCCCGGGGTTGATCCCGGGCGCTGGCGAGAAACAATGGGCAGAGTTTCTTTCACCCTATGCCCCTGTTACCTAGCAGTGAAATAGGTACCTGGGTGTTAGTCAGCTGTCACGGGCTGCTTCCGGGGGGTGGAGGCCTGGTCGAGGACCGGGCCGCAGGGACACTAAAAAGCCCCGAAATCATCTCAAGATAACCTCAAGATAACCCCAGAATATCACTGCTGTTATAATGGAAGGTGCCTCCCCTCCCAAACACTAACACTTCTCCCCCTCTTTCCTCACTGTCTTCCATTCACCAACAAAGAGGCCTCAATAAAGGCAAGATATACTTGTACATGCTGTAGTACTAAATATTAGTAGTGGTATGTATAAAATGAATTTTTAAGTTAATATTTTTGGGGGTGTGGAAGAGATTAATTAAGTTACCTATGGGGAAAAAAAATTCTAAAATTCTTGTGGGAAAATTCATTTTGGTTTTCGAACAGTCTCTGGGAACGTATTAAATTTGAAAACGGAGGTACCACTGTGTATATTTTGCACAGCCCATCTGCCTGTTTAGATAGTACTTATATTAACGAGGACCGTCGTGCATATATTGACATAAAAGGCAATTAGAAAATCGAAATCGATACTATTGAATTTGGACAAACCCGAAAAGATTTTGTACCGATGTTGCAAAGAAAACTTGACCTAACCTTCCAAGGCCTAATATAGTACATATATGTGCTATACTAAGTCTATGAATATTTACGAATGGTTTTTAGCTTTATTTTTTTTAACTCTACCTGTATAGTGAATAGTACCAAATTCTACTATCAAATTGTATAACACATCTGTGTATGTTGACCAGACCACACACTAGAAGTTGAAGGGACGACGACGTTTCGGTCCGTCCTGGACCATTCTCAAGTCGATTGTCAAGTCACAAGATTGTCATTCTCAAGTTACAATCGACTTGAGAATGGTCCAGGACGGACCGAAACGTCGTCGTCCCTTCAACTTCTAGTGTGTGGTCTGGCCAACATACTTCAGCCACATTATTGTGACTCATCACCTGCACATTTGTGTATTTACGATGGTCCACACGGTTACAGAAAGTACTTTCTACACAAGAGGATGGGTTGCTTTGTAACAATGAATTAGAATTTATAAAAGTTCATTTTACTGTGTTTGCTTTACTATATAAACTTTTCTTTTCCCCAATAGATATCACAGGCACAAAATCGTGTGTACCTAGGAGCCGATACGTTGATGCTGAACATTAACGACAAGGAATATGACAACAACGTTAAGCGTGTAGCTAAGTAACGCACAAGGTTTTATAGGCCATTTTAAGTGGAAGAAGTTAGATGCAAGCATTCTATGGATAAATGCAGCCTCTATTAGTGATGACCAGTGTGCTTCAAGAAGGGCTCCAAAAGTGCATATTAAATGTTTCGCGTAAAGCAATGCGGTTTTAAGTATATATGCTATGATTAATCTTATTTCTTTGTATTGTATATGGCTTAATTTTTTCATAATTACTTTGTATTGTATAATTAATAATTTGTTCAAAATTAGTTACTAGTTTGCCAGATTAGAAAACTCTCAATGCTGACTGATATTTCAGGTTCCACTGAAGTTTGTTTTCCTAATGAATATTGAGGAGTTGTCCAGTGCATTTTGTTAATAATTTTTGTGGCAAGGGGCTTATACATGTACAGGTGAGTGACAGACTACTAGTAACACTGTAAATACTATAATTGTGTACATCATTTACAAATAAATTGACATTGGATGCCAGATGTTGTTGCTGTACATTATCCACAAATGTGTAAGTGAATTCAGTAAAATTCCTTTATAAAAGCATAAACTTTATATGCTTTGCCACAAGGATGTGATACGTTTCACTTTTAATAGAGATGGGGCTGGGGGAATGTCTTTTTTTTTTTTTTTTTTTTTTTTTCTCTCCTACTAAAGGACACGTGCTTCATTGCTCCTTGAAAAAGATATTGATCAAAAGTGTTTGAATGTTTTGTGCTATAACTGTTGGTGGAGAATGGTAAAGCAATGGTTTAAGATGTTAATTACCCATATAAAGAAAATGTATCTTGAATTATCATTAAAGGTGGCTGGTAAAGCTCTCTCTAGCTCGCTCGCTCTCTCTTGGATCAAGAACGTATATCAATATTCTTCAGTATGGCTCGTAAATATTAAAAGTTTGGAAGTTGGTTGTAGTAGACAAACTACTCTACCATTACACAGCTACAGTAATAGAAATAGGAGGCTAGGCGGCCTTAGGATGTGTGTTTGTTGGCAATAAATAGAGTATTGTAGAGGCTGGTATGAAGATTCTGAAAATATGAATGTATAATTAATCTGCTTGCTATGCACTTTTGTTCTCATATTGGCATCCTTAGTGATAGTTAACACCTTTTGATAGTGCTACATAGCCTTCCCAGCTTGGTGCATTCTTTTGATAATTGCTTGCTTGCTACCTGATCAATTGAAGAGTTAAAGGATAATTACAGAAGTAAAACAAGGAAAGGCAAACATAAGGATTTAAAAATGGCATGATGTTTGGTCGGCCGAGCGGACAGCACGCTGGACTTGTGATCCTGTGGTCCTGGGTTCGATCCCAGGCGCCGGCGAAAAACATTGGGCAGAGTTTTTCACCCTATGCCCCTGTTACCTAGTAGTAAAATAGGTACCTGGGTGTTAGTCAGCTGTCACGGGCTGCTTCCTGGGGGTGGAGGCCTTGTCGAGGACCGGGCCGCGGGGACACTAAAAAGCCCCGAAATCATCTCAAGATAATGAAACCAGATGCAAATGATTAGATGCCAGTTGATTAATACATTTGTGTAATTTTAGGTAGGAGAAAAAAGAAAAGGCCTTTTGTATTACATTAAAGACCGTTTTGTTTTCTTTTCATGAAATGTTACCCAATCAATATATTTTTTGTACAACCTCTTCAAATGAAGGAACTTTTAAGGATATAATTTTACCCTGGTTAATACTGGTAATTGAATTGTGTACAAATTTACTTTGAAGCATATCCTGGTAGATTTGTACAAGATCTCAAATGACATGTTACCAAATTGACCTGTTGCACAGAACTAGTGGTTTACTAGTTGAACTTGTTAATTTCTATTTAATTTGCTAGTTTATTAACTTCTGTTATGGGGTACAGGATCAAACGGTTTTAAACATGCTATCTCCTACAATATAGCCATAATATTTTGGAGCCAAGCGTACCAAATAACTATAAATTTATATTTACAATAGACAGCTTTGAGAACAGAAAAGACCTTATCAGGCAGTCAAGAAATAGAAGGAAGGAAGGTTAAAAATTTGTTTTTATTAATTGCATCATCAGCAGTATCTTGAATTTGCCCGAAGGCTACCAACTTTAGTGGTCTTGACAGGAACCTTTTGAAAGGCTTGTCAAATTCCCTCTACTCCCCATGTCATACGATGCTACTTGCTGATCAACACATACCATGATTAGAATGGGTCCCAGTGGCATCCTGCTCATTTCCTCTGTCGATTTCGATCTCCCAAGGCATTATTACTGTACTTGCTTTCTGACTCATGTTTACAGAGGTTCTCTCTCGCCCATCTCGAGACAGTACTCCAACCAATTATGCAAAATCTTGTGTGGCTTAGTTATAAATATTTTGTCAGTCCAATCAAGTTCACCAAGAACTCTAGCTGTTCATCAAACACGACATCTTAATCGAAGTACCTGTGATGTCATTTGGAAATATTCAACCTCCAGGGGCTCCACTAGCCTCTTTATGATTAGCCATTTTAGCATCATAAAAGGTATACAGTACAGTAGATAGCTCCAGATGAATCTGATTCAACAGACCCAACCACTTGGACTCGTAGGGTCCCGGCTTGGTGCTTTCTTTGATAATTACTTACTTGGACTGGTAGGTACGTACAGCAATGATCGTGCTTCATTGCAAGTCTGCATTTTATCCTCAATGGTCCTTGTGATTGGGCACCTGCTCGACTATGTAACCAGATACAAATACCTTGGTCTTGAAGTTCCACTGTACCGCAATGTTGTAGCCAGACTGGGTCGCCAATGTAGAGAGAGGCTCTGTGCTCTCAAGGCTGTGGCAGGCTACCATCCAAGCTATGGTGCAAATATGAGAATTGTCAAAATGATGTATCTCTCATATATTAGGTCTCTGATTATGCTGCACCCATGCTTGCTCTAGTGCCTAAGAGAATGCTTGGAGGGTTGGAAAAGATGCAAAACGAAGCCATGAGGACTATCCTCGGATGCCCCCGTACAACTAAATTACTAAACATGAGGAAGGAACAATATTTCATGTGTAAGTGATCGTATCACTGAAATTAATGCTTTAATTGGTATCAAGATGCTTAGGCTAACCCACCCTAACCCCTGCACTGAAGCCCTCCAAGCCTTCTTCCTTGAAAGTCAGCATCCCTCCAAATGGATTACCGTAACTGCCAATGTGCTCAGTATGTATAACTTTCATCACCTCTACCAAGAGAGACAACAACACTACTTTCCTGCCCCATGGGAGATCACTCCTTTCCAAATTACTGTCCCCCTTTCCCACCCAAGAAGCTGATTAAAGAACAAGCCTTGCTTCGACAAGAAGCAAAGTACAATGCCTTAAGCCAAATTGATGCTTTAGTCAGAGAGCGCTCCCTTTCTCAGATTATTTACACTGATGGATCCTTGCATCAGTCCTATGGTGCAGCTGGAAGTGCAGTTGTGACAGGGAGAGATGGCTCCATCTCCCATGAGTGTGGAGCGCGGCTAAGTAACTGGGCCTCCACTCTTCAAACAGAATTGGTTGCCATAATCCTTGCACTCGAGCACGTATATGAATCCAAAGTTGACACGCTAATTGTAAGTGACTCCTTGTCATCCTTGACTGCCCTCAGCTCCCCAAGGCTGTGACGTGCTTGTGGCTGAAGCTAGACACAGATATAGTAAAATAATCAATGATGGAGTCAGAGTTTGTCTCCTGTGGATTCCTTCCCATATTGGTCTCCGAATGCATGATAGAACTGATGTGTTAGCCAAGACTTTTGCTCGTAAAGAGGGAATTGATTACCAACTTGGACTGCCTTTGAGCAGCCTGAGGGCAGCAATATCCCAGGAACATCAACTAAATTTCGGAGACTTGAGGGAAAGTGAAATTCACACCAGTTACTCCATCTATCATCATTCTATTATGCATGAACCGCACGTCTATGGGTCATCCAACAATGTTAGCAGACTTCTAGATGTTACCACTGCTAGGCTTTGGCTCGGCTACAAGTACCTCTGGGAGTTTGTAACATCTGCTGATGTAGATTTGACTAAATGTAAACTCTGTCAGCAGAACTATGCGCATACTTTGCGTCATTATATAATGGAATGTGAAAAAATTGCGGAATTTAGAGATAACACCATCAATAGTGTCCAAGAAATGTGTAAGTACTTCATTCATAATGATGTGCTGCCCGAAATCTTAGCGAAGTATCCAAAATTTGCTTACTGTAGGTAATGCATGCACATGACTGTAAAGCTGCCGCCTAGTTGGGTGGGTGTGGAGCACATGACTGTAAAGCTGCCGCCCAGTTGGGTGGGTGTGGAGAACATGATTGTAAAGCTGCCGCTAGGGAAAGTAGGAAATGCAGTTGAAAAAATGAAACCTTGTAGAGATAAGGCTCAGGACAATATAGTGAACTCGGAGGTTTGTATTCAAATATTGGAATATCTAAAAAACTAGACAAAAGGATTGAGGCATTAGAAAAATTAGCTATGAAGGGTAGACGGGGTGAAGATGGTGGTGAAACAAAACGTGAAATGGAAAGTGAAACAGGACGTGAAATGGAAAGTGAAACGTGCGTAGAAGAAACTAAGGAAGAACATGGCGTATTGATGATAGAGGATAGTCAGAAAAATGAACTTTCTAGTAATGTTAGCGGTGTTCAACCTTCTGTAGTGACAAATGTTGAAACAAAGGTTAGAGTAAAACGGTATACAGAAATAAAGAAAATAGATATGAATAATATTACCTTTGATGTTAGTAGCTGTTGTGCAAGTGAGGAGAAAGAAAAAATGTTACGGTGTTGGAAGGAAGTTTCTAAGGTACTCTCGTATCTCATGGAATGTGACGGACACGGCAAAGGTAGTTTTATTATTAATCATGGATGAAAGTGAATTGAGAATATTATCTCGGAACAGTCTGCTTCATCACGAAGAGTCTGCTTCAGCACGAACAGTCTGCTTCATCACGAAGAGTCTGCTTCATCACATAGAGTCGTCTGTGTCATCATACTTCAGGGTGTCGCCTCACCGCTTCACAGAGCGACGGGTCGAGTCCTTCCTCTGGAGTTGTTATTTCAGCAAAATATGACAAACACTTCCTCAACTGATTTCATGTTGCTCGTTCCCTGTTACTTTACGTGTGTTGTGTGTATTTAGCCCCTCAGAGTCAACACACACACACACACACGCACACAATGTGTGTGAAGGGAGCCGGTGACCGAGCGGACAGCACGCTGGGCACGTGATTATGTGGTCCTGGATTCGATCCCTGGCGCCGGCGAGAAGCAATGGGCAGAGTTTCTTTCACCCTATGCTTCTGTTACCTAGCAGTAAATAGGTACCTGGGAGTTAGTCAGCTGTCATGGGCTGCTTCCTGGTGTGTGTGTGTGTGGGTGTGTGGTGTTAAAAAAATAGTAGTAGTAGTTAGAAACAGTTGATTGACAGTTGAGAGGCGGACCCAAAGAGCAGAGCTCAACCCCCGCAAGCACAACTAGGTGAA